TCACCTAAGGAGCTGTGCTGTGCTTGTCTTCAACAGATGCCAACGCTCCAGTGAGCAGAGACAGCCACGGGAAGAGCACTGGAACACATGTGAGTGCCCAGGGTCAGGGTGGGGCCGCTGGGGAGCATCCCTGTGCCAGGGCAGGGGGTGCCAGGGATGGATCCCTGTGCCAGGGCAGGGGGTGCCAGGGATGGATCCCTGTGCCAGGATAGGACAGGGTGTGCCAGGGATGGATCCCTGTGCCAGGGCAGGGGGTGCCAGGGATGGATCCCTGGTCAGGGTCAGGGGGTGCCAGGGATGGATCCCTGGTCAGGGCAGGGTGTGCCAGGGATGGATCCCTGGTCAGGGTCAGGCTCCGGGGGCTGAGCTGGGGCTGTCCCGCTGTGACATTCCGGCCGGCAGTGCTGCAGCACGTCCATCCCGGGGCAGCCCAAGGTCCCCCAGCTGTCGCTGTCACTGTCACTGATCCGTGCCGGTGGGCAGCTCTCCCTGGTGCCTCTGACCAACACCAAACCCGGCTGAGCACCGAGCCCGGACACACGGACCCGGCCCTCAGTGGATGCTGCAGCCCCAGCCCAGCCCCGAGGGGGCTCCGGGGGGATCCCAAGCACAGCCTGGGGGTCTCCAGCCCACCCGTGTGTGCCGGGGGCAACTCGTGGTTAAATCCAGCTTAAATAACGTCAAATACACCCCTGTTTAAGGCTGTTGAGGTGAACGCACGGCCCAGGTGCTGCAGGAGCCGGGTCGGTGCCTCTCGCTGGGGCAGCACCGGCTCAGCCCCGGGGACCCCAGAGCAGCGTGTCCCTGTCCCCCGGCCAGCCCTGTGCCCTCCCAGCAGGGAATAGAGGAGGAGAGTCCCTGGCGCGGTGTCTCCGAGCAGGACCCGGGCCAGCCCGAGGCAGAGACAGGAGCCGGACATGCCAGAGCCAGCCCCGCCCGGCGGGGACAGGAGAGCGGCGGAGAAGAAGCGGGTGGAGAAGGTGGGAGCCAAGGGCAGCGCTGCAGGGCCGCCAGGTGGGTGTGTGGGAAAGCCCTTCCCTGCCCCAGAACGGCCACCCTGGCCCCGGGGGATCACAGAGGCACAGTCCCATGTCCCCGGCCAGCCTGGGTCACTGCCTGGCCATGGAGCAGTGACAGGAGGAGCTGTGCTCTCCGCAGTCCCCGGGGACATCAGTGACACGGGGAAGGAGATGGTGCTCCTCAGCCTCCTGCCAGATTCCCCACTTCCTCCTCCTCCTCCTCCTTCTCTCCACCCTGCCCAGATTTGCTGCTGGAGGAGGAGCGCGGGCAGAGCTTTTCCCAGCTGGATCCCCAGGATACTCCAATGGCACCATGGCCCAAACCCCCTGGGTGCCAGCCCGCGGGACACTCCTGTCCCCACTCCTGCAGTGCAAACACGTGGCAGGAGCAGCTCCTGT